CATTGTGATGAACAATGGACCTGCTAGTTCCAGTTTGCACTGTTCTACTTTCTTCAAATCCATCCAGGAGTTCTCGTCTAATGACACTTTTAAGGGACCTATTTGATAACTCAAGATTCCGTTCAATACTGTCTTTATTTACTGCAGCCTTAGCAAGGGCGTCAACTTTGTCATGTTCCTGCATGCCAATGTGAGAAGGAATCCACAACATTTTTGTATTTACCCTCTTGCTAAGTATTCTTATATATCTACGTCTAGCTTCCAAGACAAGCACGTTATTACTTGATTGCAAACTGTTTATTGCTCGTAGTGAGGAAAGGGAGTCGGAAATAATTAAGCTGTCTACTTCAGTGTTGTCAATAATTTCGAGTGCTACCAGTATCGCTACCAACTCGGCTTGCATTGTGGACGCCCAGTTACTAATTCGGATATTTCTTTGAATTGTGCTGCCATCGGGCTGATGAGCAATAACAGCACTTCCTGCCCTCCCTGTAGCTGTATTGAGTGATCCGTCAGTGTATATGGTCTGTGCAATGTTGTTTTCAGTTTGTATATTGTGAATGTGTTCTATGGTGCTTAATTTAGCAGCAAGCTGAGCATGAGGGTTGTTTGTGATTAGTTTCTTGGTGGGGTATGCAGGGGTCAGGATGTCAAAAGGTACTATCTGCCAGGGTGGAAGGAAGTGCTGTACTCTTTCATCTGTATATACATCGTGCAGTCCCATCATTTTAATATGAGTGGCAGTTCTTTGAATCCATTTAGACTCGCTAGTATGTGTACGTATGTGTTCTAACAGTGCAACTGACACAATGTTGTTTTTGTTATCACGCAGAAGCTTTAGTCCCATCATGAGATTAATTTCAAATATTCTATCTCTAATGCTAAGTATATTTAATTCTTTCCTCATGTTGAGAACTTTAGTAGTTATAGGACAGCCAAGAATAATTCTGAGTGCTTCATTTTGCATTTTTTCCAGTCTATCATACTGTTGCCATTCTGCAGGACCAAAGCTGGTGCATGATAGTCTATCAGAGACCTTATATACCAAGGAGTGCCGGACCAACCGGGCTGTGGTGGGTATGTGGGCCTGCGGACCCCTCCAGGCAACAGTTTTTTTTTTTTTTTTTAAAGTAAAGAGGAAGGAGAGGCATAGGTGAAGGGAAGTATAGAAGTGGGAAATACAGTGAGAGGTATGAAAGCAGGCGGGCTGTCCGCCTTGCTGACACCATGTGTGGGTGTTGGCAGCTAAGCTAAGCTGGCTCCCTCTTGTCAGGGAGCTGTGAGTGTGTGAGAGGTTCTTCACATGTGTTTCACCATATATGGATGTCTGTAGATGAATACTGTGTAGCATTCATATATACACACTCCGATGCTTCCATACATGTTGTTCTGTTTAAGGCTCTTTATTATTATTATTTATCGAGTTGTTCATAGTTGTTCATACATACATATTATTTATCGAGTTGTTCATATATACACATATATACCTACATATGCTCACACATACACACTTATATATATATATATATATATATATATATATATATATACATATATATATATATATATATATATATATATATATATATATGCAACAAGCCTGAATGGTCCCCAGGACTATATACAAGCTGGTGTGAGTTTTCAGTTATATATATATATATATATATATATATATATATATATATATATATATTATACCTACATACTCAGTTTTCCAATTATGGGGGAAGGATATCTGGTCAGTATCTCATCTGGGAATTATATACTGTGGGGCGGGATTTTCATCCAGAGAATCCAGGCTCTTGGGCCACCAGCTGTGGGAGTGGGGCGTCTCATCTTGGGCCACCAGCTGTGGGAGTGGGGCGTCTCATCTTGGGCCACCAGCTGTGGGAGCGGGGCGTCTCATCTTGGGCCACCAGCTGTGGGAGTGGGGCGTCTCATCTTGGGCCACCAGCTGTGGGAGCGGGGCGTCTCATCTTGGGCCACCAGCTGTGGGAGTGGGGCGTCTCATCTTGGGCCACCAGCTGTGGGAGCGGGGCGTCTCATCTTGGGCCACCAGCTGTGGGAGCGGGGCGTCTCATCTTGGGCCACCAGCTGTGGGAGCGGGGCGTCTCATCTTGGGCCACCAGCTGTGGGAGCGGGGCGTCTCATCTTGGGTCACCAGCTGTGGGAGTGGGGCGTCTCATCTTGGGCCACCAGCTGTGGGAGCGGGGCGTCTCATCTTGGGCCACCAGCTGTGGGAGCGGGGCGTCTCATCTTGGGCCACCAGCTGTGGGAGCGGGGCGTCTCATCTTGGGCCACCAGCTGTGGGAGCGGGGCGTCTCATCTTGGGCCACCAGCTGTGGGAGCGGGGCGTCTCATCTTGGGCCACCAGCTGTGGGAGCGGGGCGTCTCATCTTGGAGCAATCTTTCAAACATTGGGTCCTCTAACATTTGGATGGTGTTCCACACCCTGATGGCTTGGTGCTGCAGTCTGATGTTTAGTGGCTGTATGTTCAGGAGTTCATGGAGCTCCTGGATTGTCTGATCATATGGTGGACGGTGTTTTGCTGCTCTCCTTAGCGCCTTATTTTGTACTGCTTGCAGTTTCTGCATGTTAGTTTTCTTTATGGTGTGTAGTGGTACTGGGGGATACTCTAGATGCGGCCGAACTAGAGCCTTATATAGGTGGATCTGAATGTGTTTGTGATGTATTCTCCATGTTGGGGTTGGGGTAGGTCAGCTGTATATATGTTGAATAGAGTGGGGGAGAGGCAGCTTCCTTGTGGTACTCCATTTTTCAGTTCTATTACGTCACCCAAGTAGCTGCCGATAATAAGCCTAGCCTATTGTCTATAAAACTGCAGAGAGTAGCAGTAAATTTCTCAGGAAGCCCTAGTTCAGATATCTTATATTTTAGGCCTGTGTGCCACACTTTGTCGAAGGCTTTCGAGACGTCCCTAAGCACTATATTACACTGATCTTTTTTCGACACTGCGTTGGCTATATGCTCGTAGACCAGGGCTATAGCTGTATGGGCCCCTCTGCGGATTCTAAACCCATGCTGCCTGGTGTTATACTTCCCTTCCTCTTCCGTGTACTTCACAAGTCTCTGATTGATAATTTTTTCGAATATTTTACCTGGTACTTCGAGGAGGGAAATTGGCCTGTAGTTTTCAGTTTGGGTTGTGGGTTTACCTGGCTTGGGGATTAATCTTATTGTGGCATTCTTGAAGTATGTGGGGAATAGTCCAGATGCAAGAGCTGCATTTATTATACGTGTGTATTGATGGAGTGCAATCACTGGTAGGTTGGATAATACCATCTTATTTATTTTGCTGTTGCCCGGCGCCTTGTTCTTGAAACCCATAATTGTTTTATGGACCTCCGCAATGGTTATGTGTTTCATAAGGTGGCAGTCATCGCGTATGTTGTTAAGGCCTATTGTTTGCGTCGGGAGACCACTACATCCATCCAAATTGCTTGTATTTACTGCTTGGTGTCATTTAAAGTAGGTTTATCATCAGTGTATTAGTGTTGGGTATGACCTGAGACAGGAAGCCTTCGGGTTGTCAAAGTCACCATGTTCGACAAGGTGTCCAGAGTCAGCCATCTAGTCATCCACTACATCCATCCACCACAGATGGTCACCCATCCACCCGCTTGTTTTACCGCAGTAGGTGGGAGGTGGGGCGGGGGAGTGGAGGGGAACCTGCCGGTGAGCCCACTCCCATACTCCTGCACCTCCACCCACCTGCAGGCACCCTCCACTCCCCCGCCCCACCTCCCGCCTACTGCGGTAAAACAAGCGGGTGGATGGGTGACCATCTGTGGTGGATGGATGTAGTGGATGACTAGATGGCTGACTCTGGACACCTTGTCGAACATGTCGAACATTCCCGCACGAGGCAGAAACAAATGGGCAAAAGTTTCTTTCACCCTGAACGCCCCTGTTACCTAGCAGTAAATAGGTACCTGGGAGTTAGTCAGCTGTCACGGGCTACTTCCTGGGGGTGGAGGCCTGGTCGAGGACCGGGCCGCGGGGACACTAAAGCCCCGAAAGCATCTCAAGATAACCTCAAGATATGGTGACTTTGACAACCCGAAGGCTTCCTGTCTCAGACAGGTCATACCCAACACTAATACACTGATCATAAACCTACTTTAAATGACACCAAACAGTAAATACCAGCAATTTAAACATATGTTTCTTGGTTTCTTTTTACTTTTTGGTTATTTGGTTTCTTCTTTTTTAGTTATTTCATCCAAAATAACCAACTTCACCCCTTTGGTGATTGTTCGCCGGTGGAGCCCCCATCATCATCTCGACGGGAACAATGTGCTGCCCACAATAGGCAAGTCCCGCCGAGCCTGCCCTTCAAGTCCAGAGGGAGGACGGGCCTTTATGGGCCAGGTCCACACCTAGCCCTGGTATATCCAACCCCCGGGGCTGCTCTCTATAACCACAACGGGTGTGGTTACCCTACACTTAACATTGTCTCACACACTGCTCAGTTTCAAACGCAATAAGATTTTAACCAAGATTCAACAGAGTAGAAGTTGTTGTTGAACACACGGGGCATAGTCTTATCGCTCAAACATACGAGTCATACTCATACACCATCTAATTAAAACAGATCTCCGTTGCGTCGCTAAAAAAAATATTTGTAAAAAAATTATTTATTATCCAATCAACTTCTTTCTGTCCGAAACGCTGCGCGTACTAGTGGTTTTACAAGATTGTAATTACTATCCTATGTATCTTCACAATCCCAATGTACCTTCTTGTATATATATATATATATATAAAATTATTTTAAAATGAGCGCCATTGTTTTCCCACACTCCTCCATAGGCCGCATGGTGTTCTGGGTCACGCCATGCGGTCGGCCTAGTGCTTTGTTTACCTCTGTCGTGAGCGGAACGCCGCCCGCCCGCGTCCCGAACTTGTGTAACTCTCGGCTATTTATCCGCGTGTGTATTCGTTCCCGTGTTTTGGCGACACCTTATTACGTGACACCATGGATCGTGGTCAAGGGCAGAGCAGTTCGACGCCGAAAAAAGCGACGAAAACTACCAAAGAGCTTAAGCTAAGTATGCTCTACAAGAAATTTAGCAGAGTTCGGCTTACACGAACCAAAATACCAGGCATGCTGGATGAATTATTTGATATTGATGCAGATGTTGAGGGAGAAGAACGAGAGAGTGATTTCAATAGTGATAATTTAGATACAGAGACGGCGGATGATGGTGAGTCAACGAGTGAGGAGAGTAGCGAGGAGTCTGAGGAGGACGACGACCCTCGCCCACAGCCTCCTATAAGAAAGCGTGCAGGACGTCTTCAACAACCAGATCCTGAAGATGCCTGGTGTACTGATAACACTCCACCATCTGTAGACACTTTCACTGGAACACCAGGTCTAACTGTACCCTTGCCAACCACTGCTATACAATTTATACAATTATTCCTGACTCGTGCCCTGATCGAATATTTTACATTTGAAACTAACTTGTATACTAAACAATTTATACAGAATGCTTCCAGGCGCACCACGAGTATATGGCAAGAGGTATCGGTCAAGGAAATGGCAAGGTATTTGGGTCTGTCTATGTTGATGGGTGTTGCAGCCCTGCCGACGATGAGAATGTACTGGCAAACAAGCCGGCTATGGCATATGCGCACCTTCAATATTTTCATGACGTCCAAACGATTTCAACATATTAGCCAGTTTTTTAATAGTTACAATAACCAAGCAATTCCCCCAAACAATAAAGACCGATTGATAAAAGAAAGAAAGAACTGAGTTTGGATGAAGGAACAATGTCGTGGCGTGGGCGATTATCTTTCAAGGTTTATAATCCAAATAAGCCAGATAAGTATGGAATAAAATTGTACATGCTTGCTGAGGCATCATCGGGCTACATATATGACTTTGAAGTGTATGCTGGAGTTGGTAAAACAACAGTGGAGACAGTCATGGGCTTGATGCAGCCCCTAATGTACAAGGGTTATCATCTTTATATGGATAATTACTATAACTCTGTCCATCTCACAGAAAAGCTACGTGAACATGGTGTTTATACGTGTGGAACAATCAGATTACACCGTGGCGCCCCCAAGCATCTGCAACAGCAAGCAAAGGGTAAAATTCCCGTTGATAAAACCATATTCTGCCGCAAGGATAATACATTTCTAATCCTGTGGAAAGACAAGCGAGTGGTCTCAGTGATCACAAACTGCCACAATGCTGACACACAGGAAGTCGAACGAAGGGAAAGAGTGAGGAAACGTGACGGAACGACTGAAGTGAACCTTGTAACTGTGAACAAACCCAATGCTATATGCGACTACAACACCCACATGAAAGGTGTTGATCACTTTGACCAAATGGTCAAATATTACAAGTTCACACGGAAATGTCATAAGTGGACAAAGAAAATTACCTTCTATTTCCTGCAAATGGCTCTGCACAATTCATATGTGTTGTACAAGAACTACACTACTGATGAGAAGAAATTGACCTTGCTCCAGTTTCATGAGGTAGCAATATGGTCCTTGTTGAGGTGGGACCAAGAGTGGCCTAACACGGATGACCCTATCCCACATGCTCCGGATATCAATGCTGATTCTGATGATGGCGATGTTGACAGTCCGGGACCATCTGGTGTGAGGCGTCCTCTATTTGCTTCGGCACGTCGTCAAGCACACGACTCCTCATCTGACTCAGAACCTGAAACGGATCCTAGTACCAGTCATCGTCCTCCTGCCAAGAAAAACCCACGTATTGTGGATCCCGAGGATCGTCTAAATAAAAAGTTGACTCATGCTATCGTCAAACTCTCAAAACGTCGACGGTGTCGTGTTTGCATGAAGTCGGGAGTAAGGAGGGACTCTATGTATCAGTGCAAGACGTGTGGAATTGCACTGTGTGTTACACCATGCTACACAAAATACCACCGCAAGAGGGTATTTTGGGTGGCGAAAAAATAGCGCCTCTGGACACATCCACTCCACCTACGAAACATCTGTTGAGCAACTTCAGGAACATTTTCCTGAAGCAGGTGGAGTGGATCACAAAATGCTCAACTTATTGTCCTACCTACCAACCTATTGTCCTAAGATAACCATCATCATGCCGTAGGTAAGTGCACACACTTTGTACAAGTCTTTGTGAATTTATTACTTCTTTATACTTTGCTGGTGGTATTGCCTATATATATTTCGGTTGTTATTGCTTAGATTGGTCTTTCTACTTGGGGCATTTTATTGCGAATATTTTGATACCACAATGAACAATGTTGCACAAAAACTTCGGTTAGAAAACTGTACGTGTTTGTCCGGTGTATTGGGTGTAGCGGGTGTGGCAACGGGTGTGTTCTGGCGGGTAAGGTTCCACGACTTTGGGGGTCGTTGCGGGTGAGGCGCGCCCATGTTGTATAATTTATATGGATATGTCTGTAGGAAATGTTATTGCAATCACAGTGATACAAAAAAAACGATATGCAACAAATTTTGACTTGATAAACATGAACAAGGAAGTAACATGTGGGCGGTGTTTGGCGTGAACGGGTAACAAACGACTTAGTTCTTTATTTGGTGCCGGCGCCACGTTAACTTTGGTGAAATGTTATACATATGTTCCTATAGAACATTTCATTGGCTACACAGTGATACCAAAATAAAACACGTACATCGAAAATGAGGGTCAGAAACATGAGGAGAGTATAAACTTTTCAGTAGCACATGTGCAGTTGGGTGTGCGGTGATGGGGGCTCCACCGGCGAACAATCATCAAAGGGGTGAAGTTGGTTATTTTGGATGAAATAACCAAAAAGAAGAAACCAAATAACCAAAAAGTAAAAAGAAACCAAGAAACATGCTTAAATTGCTGGTATTTACTGTTTACGATCATTGTATTAGTGTTGGGTATGACCTGTCTGAGACAGGAAGCCTTTGGGTTGTCAAAGTCACCATGTTCGACAAGGTGTCCAGAGTCAGCCATCTAGTCATCCACTACATCCATCCACCACAGATGGTCACCCATCCACCCGCTTGTTTTACCGCAGTAGGTGGGTGGTGGGGCGGGGGAGTGGAGGGTGCCTGCAGGTGGGTGGAGGTGCACACGGGCCCTGTCTGAGGCATTAATTTAATTTTGCCCCGAGGGGCGAGTTTATTGGGCAGCGCCACTCATCCTGTGAGTGGACACACCGCCATAGTGACAGTATTGGGCAGCGCCACTCATCCTGTGAGTGGACACACCGCCATAGTGACAGTATTGGGCAGCGCCACTCATCCTGTGAGTGGACACACCGCCATAGTGACAGTATTGGGCAGCGCCACTCATCCTGTGAGTGGACACACCGCCATAGTGACAGTATTGGGCAGCGTCACTCATCCTGTGAGTGGACACACCGCCATAGTGACAGTATTGGGCAGCGCCACTCATCCTGTGAGTGGACACACCGCCATAGTGACAGTATTGGGCAGCGTCACTCATCCTGTGAGTGGACACACCGCCATAGTGACAGTATTGGGCAGCGCCACTCATCCTGTGAGTGGACACACCGCCATAGTGACAGTATTGGGCAGCGCCACAGCCTGTGAGTGGACACACCGCCATAGTGACAGTATTGGGCAGCGCCACAGCCTGTGAGTGGACACACCGCCATAGTGACAGTATTGGGCAGCGCCACTCATCCTGTGAGTGGACACACCGCCATAGTGACAGTACTGGGCAGCGCCACTCATCCTGTGAGTGGACACACCGCCATAGTGACAGTATTGGGCAGCGCCACTCATCCTGTGAGTGGACACACCGCCATAGTGACAGTACTGGGCAGCGCCACTCATCCTGTGAGTGGACACACCGCCATAGTGACAGTATTGGGCAGCGCCACTCATCCTGTGAGTGGACACACCGCCATAGTGACAGTATTGGGCAGCGCCACTCATCCTGTGAGTGGACACACCGCCATAGTGACAGTATTGGGCAGCGCCACTCAGCCTGTGAGTGGACACACCGCCATAGTGACAGTATTGGGCAGCGCCACTCAGCCTGTGAGTGGACACACCGCCATAGTGACAGTATTGGGCAGCGCCACTCAGCCTGTGAGTGGACACACCGCCATAGTGACAGTATTGGGCAGCGCCACTCATCTTGTGAGTGGCCATACCGCCATAGCAGCATGTACAACACTCCCCAATAGGAAGAAAACCCGCTGGGTTGTTCATCCTGTCACTTGTACCCAGACACAGCTGGGACTTGCTTAACTGTCTCAAGTGAACAGCTCCTCAAACAAGAAGATTAACATTTGTCAACCCTTAAAATCTTACGTTATCTTGCGGGTGCAAAATGGAAGAATCTATTAAGAACAATATCTATATTTGACAAATAACTCGTTGATTTGTGTGAGGATCTCGCCCACGGGAAACTAACTTTGGTCGGCTGGGGAAACTTGTATTTTGTTTTGTTTCATTTTCACATTTCAGGAAAAAAAATACTTCGAAACTCCATCGCATTTTTCGCCAAATTGAGATTAATAGCCGGGTAAGTTTTCCCATTATGAGAGGAAGACGCTGTTGACCGTGAGGCGAGCTGCTACTGTGCTGCTAGGTGGGGCCTTGCCTCCACTCCCATCCTTCCTCCCCCACTCCCATCCTTGCTCCCCCACTCCCATCCTTCCTCCCCCACTCCCATCCTTGCTCCCCCACTCCCATCCTTGCTCCCCCACTCCCATCCTTGCTCCCCCACTCCCATCCTTGCTCCCCCACTCCCATCCTTGCTCCCCCACTCCCATCCTTGCTCCCCCACTCCCATCCTTGCTCCCCCACTCCCATCCTTGCTCCCCCACTCCCATCCTTGCTCCCCCACTCCCATCCTTGCTCCCCCACTCCCATCCTTGCTCCCCCACTCCCATCCTTGCTCCCCCACTCCCATCCTTGCTCCCCCACTCCCATCCTTGCTCCCCCCACTCCCATCCTTGCTCCCCCCACTCCCATCCTTGGTCCCCCCACTCCCATCCTTGCTCCCCCACTCCCATCCTTGCTCCCCCACTCCCATCCTTGCTCCCCCACTCCCATCCTTGCTCCCCCACTCCCATCCTTCCTCCCCCACTCCCATCCTTGCTCCCCCACTCCTATCCTTGCTCCCCCACTCCCATCCTTCCTCCCCCACTCCCATCCTTGCTCCCCCACTCCCATCCTTGCTCCCCCACTCCCATCCTTGCTCCCCCACTCCCATCCTTGCTCCCCCACTTCCATCCTTCCTCCCCCACTCCCATCCTTGCTCCCCCACTCCCATCCTTGCTCCCCCACTCCCATCCTTGCTCCCCCACTCCCATCCTTGCTCCCCCACTCCCATCCTTGCTCCCCCACTCCCATCCTTGCTCCCCCACTCCCATCCTTGCTCCCCCACTCCCATCCTCCCCCCCCACTCCCATCCTTGCTCCCCCACTCCCATCCTTGCTCCCCCACTCCCATCCTTGCTCCCCCACTCCCATCCTCCCCCCCCACTCCCATCCTTGCTCCCCCCACTCCCATCCTCCCCCCCACTCCCATCCTTGCTCCCCCCACTCCCATCCTCCCCCCCACTCCCATCCTCCCCCCCACTCCCATCCTCCCCCCCACTCCCATCCTCCCCCCCACTCCCATCCTCCCCCCCACTCATGAAGACACCAAGTCTTTGTTGCGATAATAACCCCACATTGGTCATGAGTCGCTCCATGACTGTAGCCTTGATGCCAAGTAAGCTGGTTATAACTACACATACACTCTCCATGTACATCTTAACAACACGACTAAAACAGAAGCGAAAAAGAAACGGGGAAAAAGGAGGAAACCCCACCTCCATTTAAAACTTTGACCCCAAATATCAGAGTAACAAGGTTATCAGGAATAACCGAACTCAATTACGGGCTCACCATAGCCCGTGCTACATGGACATTTCGTTCTGAAGAGCTATATCTAAAACAACGTAATGTTAACCCACTCGGTAACTAGCGCATCAGTCTTGTAACTTGTTTAGGTAAGCAAGTATTTGGGGGCGGGGGGTCAGTTCCTGACCTCAGTTACGAGCCTCTGTAACCTTTTCCACAACCACTCACGGTTGTGGGCGCTTGTGTATTTGTACTTATTATGTAGTGTTTTGGGCTACATCATAAATTAAATCAACACAATTTGTGTCCTTGGACGTTTGGCACCATTGCCTGGACCAGTAACCTTGATGTACATAATAGTACTCACGGCCGTTAGTACTACCTGTAGTGTTGTGTTGTGTTGTTACCTGCGTTATTACCTGGAGCAATGTGTGGTGCATCCCCAGCATGGGGGGGGGGGCATGTACCCTCAGTGTCCCTTGTTGGCTCCGGTGATACTAGCGTGGAGGCCGGGGCCCAGGGTGGATGGGTGGGTGGAGGCCGGGGCCCCAGCGTGGACGATGGTTGGGAGGGTGGAGGCCGGGTATGGGCAGGGTATGGGACCCAGCGTGGACGATGGTTGGGTGGGTGGAGGCCGGGGGCGCAGCGTGGAGGGTGGGTGTGTGGTGGCCGGGGGCCCAGCGTGGAGGGTGGGTGTGTGGTGGCCGGGGGCCCAGCGTGGAGGGTGGGTGTGTGGTGGCCGGGGGCCCAGCGTGGAGGGTGGGTGTGTGGTGGCCGGGGCCCCAGCGTGGAGGGTGGGTGTGTGGTGGCCGGGGGCCCAGCGTGGAGGGTGGGTGTGGGTGGTGGCCGGGGGCCCAGCGTGGAGGGTAGGTGGGTGGTGGCCGGGGCCCAGCGTGGAGGGTGGGTGGGTGGTGGCCGGGGCCCCAGCGTGGAGGGTGGGTGGGTGGTGGCCGGGGCCCCAGCGTGGAGGGTGGGTGGTGGCCGGGGGCCCAGCGTGGAGGGTGGGTGGTGGCCGGGGGCCCAGCGTGGAGGGTGGGTGGTGGCCGGGGGCCCAGCGTGGAGGGTGGGTGGTGGCCGGGGGCCCAGCGTGGAGGGTGGGTGGTGGCCGGGGGCCCAGCGTGGAGGGTGGGTGGTGGCCGGGGGCCCAGCGTGGAGGGTGGGTGGTGGCCGGGGGCCCAGCGTGGAGGGTGGGTGGTGGCCGGGGGCCCAGCGTGGAGGGTGGGTGGTGGCCGGGGGCCCAGCGTGGAGGGTGGGTGGTGGCCGGGGGCCCAGCGTGGAGGGTGGGTGGTGGCCGGGGGCCCAGCGTGGAGGGTGGGTGGTGGCCGGGGGCCCAGCGTGGAGGGTGGGTGGTGGCCGGGGCCCCAGCGTGGAGGGTGGGTGGGTGGGTGGGTGGTGGCCGGGGCCCAGCGTGGAGGGTGGGTGGGTGGGTGGGTGGTGGCCGGGGCCCAGCGTGGAGGGTGGGTGGGTGGGTGGGTGGTGGCCGGGGCCCAGCGTGGAGGGTGGGTGGGTGGGTGGTGGCCGGGGCCCAGCGTGGAGGGTGGGTGGGTGGGTGGTGGCCGGGGGCCCAGCGTGGAGGGTGGGTGGGTGGGTGGTGGCCGGGGGCCCAGCGTGGAGGGTGGGTGGGTGGGTGGTGGCCGGGGGCCCAGCGTGGAGGGTGGGTGGGTGGGTGGTGGCCGGGGGCCCAGCGTGGAGGGCAGGTAACATTACGGTGTGGCCACACTGCACTCTTGACATAGTTATGGTGGTGGTTTACGATGATGAAACAGGAACAAATATTTAGGATCCGCTGAGAGCAGCTGCGCTATGAGCGTTGTTGCACACAGACACTTCATCTCTCAATAGAAAATGTATTTCTTTGAAGAGTTTCCTCAGTGTACTCAAGTTACGTTTCCACTCCTGTGCTTGGTAAGTCCACTACGGGCTCACCATGGCACAATACAGCTCACTAATAGGGCTTTATTAGTGCTACTTGGATCTTTTTGTTTCCTGTAGCTGAATCTAAAATATCATCATCTTGGGTGGCTTAATCTTCATCAATCAATCTGTGATTTCTTGTGTCGTGTGATCTTGCGTCTTAGTTCTTTTGTAGAGATTTTGTATCATGTGATAGTGCTATCAGTATAATATTTTTTGTGCGTGTTTTAGTATCCTACACAACTACACTGTAAGAAAGGTTACAGAATTTGCCAGGGGCAAATTCCAGGGGCAAATTGCCAGGGGCACCCTGCTCAGGGGCTTGCAAATTGCTACTAAATAATCCCCATCTCGCAGGATAGTCGTATACCGATTGATTAATGAAGATTAAGCCACGATCAACATTAATAGCTCGTAAAGTCATATACCTGATTTACATATTGGCATGTGACCAGTAGCTGGCCCTGGCCAACTTTTGATGCTTTATGATGATATCCTCAACAACACGAAGGTAAATAAAGTAACAGAGGCATAGGGCTGGCTTAGGAATATCCTAACAATATTCTTTGGTCATGTATCTTATTGAGGTTATCTTGAAATGATTTCGGGGCTTAGCGTCCCCGAGGCCCGGTCCTTGACCAGGCCTCCTTTTTGTTACCCACAAGAAGCACCCCGTAGCAGCTGCCTAACTCCCAGATATCTATTTACTGTTAGGTGAACAGGTGCATCAGTGTGAAAGAAACTGCCCATTTGCTTCCACCTCCACCAGGGATCGAACCCGGAACCTCAGGACTACGAATCCCGTGTGCTGTCCACTCAGCCGTAAGGCCTCATACCATGTAGGCCACATTGGTACAAATTGATTCCGCTGCATTCGCAGTTCTTAACGGCTCTTACTATACGTGGGTGAACACGTTGTACTGGACGGCTTGAGCTACTTCATCCCTTTGTGTGTGTTTATACCTCAATAACCTTATTTCATTTTCAATTGCCGTGCGCAACTACAGGACGATGGGTGACGCACTTACTGGTATTGACAGCTAACCAATTTATTACTAATCGGATATCATTAATGGTACAATTTCAGAAGTTGAAAACCAGCAGTTAATTATAAAATAGAAGTTATGGTCATTACATTGATTTTGTATGTGGGGTGCATGGGGGTGTATAGACAAATGTATAATATTGACATTTGAATATTCTTGGTATTTAATTATCTCCAATACCTGTCAGAGGGAGGATCCAAATTTAATTAATATGTCAGGCTTGGTGAAAGGCACTATCGCTACGTCCTCTCCAAGGTATTTCTCATTACTGATAGGAAATTACTTTTATACCTTATTTCCCATTAAAAGTTAAAAAAATATATACTGTATTGTATATATATTTGTGGGTACTTTTGTTTGTTTTTATGGATAGAAATCTAATGTATTTATTGATTTTCAGGAATACATGCCCTGAAAGTAGTCGGGCGAGTTGGAGTGGGCGGGTCAACGGCAGATCACGTGATGAACGAAGGCCAATCAGGAGCTGTGCCAGGTTACCTCCCCTCCAATAACCATGCTCCCAACGATGACGTCACGAAATTTAATGCGGAGGTCATTGGCCGCGACAACCTCTCTGCGAGTGTGATCAGCCAGGCCACCGACCTCGAGTTCGAGCATGACACTGCCGACTACCAGTGGCTGCTCGACTATGAGTAAGTAACCCTCCTCACCCTCAGGGACCTCTGGCGCTCCTGTGCCAGTGTTGTGTCGCTTCAGGAAATGTTTCTTATAATGAGTTACCAGTTTTAGCAACATGTGTTGATTAAGCATTTCTAAAGCATGAACAAACAACTACTGAGGTCAGTGGGTCAGAGATGACCAGATGAAATATACGATTTTTCTAGGTTTCTTAATGCTTAGAGCTATACATCCTATTGCCCATGTCTTTCCTTAACCCTTTAATTGTGGCAACTAACTTGTATACAAGAACAAAGAAAAAATAAAGTGTAATCTTTGGCACATATTTGGGTGTTTAGAGCATAACAATACAGTACTTGCAAATTGAATGCCCCTGAGGTCCTCTCCAAAAAGCCTCATGTTATATCGTGTCTATTCATGCCATATATGTTCTCTGTATTCCCTCTAATTCAGAGATCTTTCTCGCTCTGAAAGTTGAAGCAATACTCAAGATGGGACAGCATTAGTGATTTAAATAGTATTAGCATTGCTGCAGGGTCCCTGGATTTGAACGTTCTCATAATCCATCCTATCATTTTCCTGGCAAAATGCTAGTTAAGTATCACAAATTTTGCATTTGTAAAGCCATGCATCAATTTTGCATAACCAACATAATCATTCATCACTTTATTCAATTCAGTAGCTCTCAGGCTGCAAACCTGGAACATACCCAACACCATTTGCATGGTTATATTCACTAAATGTCAGGTCGTCAGACATCATAATTCCCAGATCCTTTACATGTTGCTTTCCTTCTATGAGTAGGTCTGATTATGTCCTGTACCCAGTGTTTTGTTTAAGTTCCTCGTTTCCACCATACCTCAGTACCTGGAACTTATCACTGTTAAACATCATGCTATTTTCAGTTGCCCAATCGAAGACTTTATTTATATCTGCCTGTAGTTTTTCAGTGTCTTCTACAGTGGCAATTTGTATGCTGATTTTTGTATCGTCTACAAAGGATGACACGAAGCTGTGTTTAGTAATTTTTGTCTATATCATCTTGAGAGGTTATCTTGAGATGATTTCGGGGCTTTAGTGTCCCCGCGGCCCGGTCCTCGACCAGGCCTCCACCCCCAGGAAGCAGCCCGTGACAGCTGACTAACTCCCAGGTACCTATTTACTGCTAGGTAACAGGGGCATTCAGGGTGAAAGAAACTTTGCCCATTTGTTTCTGCCTCGTGCGGGAATCGAACCCGCGCCATAGAATTACGAGTCCTGCGCGCTATCCACCAGGCTACGAGGCCCCCATATATTCATATCCCCCCTCATTCATATCATAGATATGAATGAGAAATAGCAGTAGTGCAAGGATTGTGCCCTAGGGTACAGAGCTTTTCACTGCACTTGGGCTTGATCCTACTTAATTTACCATTACACTCTGCATTCTGTTTGACAGCTCCAGTGCCCCACTTTACCCGTTATTCCTATTGATCTTATTTTATGGGCTATTACTCCATGGTCACATTTGTCGAATGCCTTTGCAAAATCTGTGTATACAATACAGTATCTGCATTTTGCTTCTCTAAAGCTTCTGTGATCCTGTCATAGTGGTTTTGTAACTGTGTCAGACAGGATCTTCCCGCTCTAGATCCATGTTGTCCTGGGTTGTGAAGTTCATTGTTTTCCAGAAAACTGGAAATTTGATTCCTAATCACTTTCAAAAAACTTTTATTTGTGATGTTAGTGCAACTGGTCAATAATTTTTTGCCAAAGCTTTACTGTCCCCCTTGTGCAGAGGAGCTATATCTGCAGATTTAAGTGCTGCTGGTGCTGTATCTCCCCCTGTATCCAGGCTCTTTCTCCATATTATACTGAGTGCTCATGCTACTGGTACTTTACATTTCTTTATGAATATTAAATTTCATGAGTCGGGACCAGGGGCTGAGAGCATGGGCATGTTGTCAATTTCTCTTTCAAAGTCTTCTGAGTTCATGTTAATATTGGTTATATTATCTGGAACTTCGATGTCATTCATAAAGAAACTGTCAGGATCCTCAACTTTCATGTTGTTTATTGGGGTGCTAAACATAGCTTCATACTGGACTTTTAGAATGTCACTAATTTCTTGTCCTCTGTGTTTGAACCTTCAGTTGTAAGTAAAGGTTCAATACTGTTAGAGGTTTTTGATTGATTTTGCATATGTGAACAAATATTTTGGCTTTTTCTTTATCTCTTGTATAGCTTTTTGCTCCAATTCCATTTCCTCAGACTCGTATGAGTTCTTCAGTGTGTGCTCTATTTTTTCAATCTCCCCGTTGAGATTTATTTTCCTTGCTTGTGATAGTTGTCTGTTTAAGTATTTCTGGGATTTTTTTCTTTTTCTTTTTAGAGTGGTCCTCTTTCTGACCCTCCTGACAGACACATGCTTCAATCAGATCTTGTATGCTTTAGCTGTCAGTTAGGTTATTTCCTGTGTGGGAGTTTTGTTGCACAAGACTGTTTACCATTGAATGTTTGCAAGGTCTATAATTATTTTTTCCCAGTCGATCCTCTTATTGTTGAAATTGAATTGATTGGATAACCCTTCTCGCTTTTTGTTTCTCGTAAACCTACTACTCGCAGTGAGCATAAGAAATATTACTGGAACAAGTGTGGATGCTTTCAAAAGAAAACTGGATAGTTTTCTTCAAGAAGTGCTGGACCAACTGGGCTGTGGTGACTGGGCCTACGAGCTGCTCCAAGCAACAGCCTGTTGGACTCTCTCAGCCTCTCTCAAGTCAAGCCTTTCCTCAGGCTGGACTTGGGGAGAACTACTCCTAGAACCCCATTCAGGTACAATCCAGGTACACATCTACCCATAGTAGAAAAGCAGCATGTAAAGGATTTGGGAATCCTTTAATGTCTGGTGACCTAACGTTTAGGGAGCATAACCAAGCAAATATAGTATCAGCCAGAAAATTATGCGATGGATTACGAGAACCTTCAAATCTAGGGATCCCATCACCATGGTTGTACTATTCAAATCACTTGCTGTCCCATCTAGAGTACTACTCGATACTCAAATTTCCCTTTAGAGCAGGAGAGATTGCTGAAATAGAGGGAATACAGAGAACATGAACAGCATACATAAACATGATAAAGCACCTAAATTATTGAGATCATCTCAAAGCTCTCAAAATGTACTCTCTGTAAAGGAGACGAGAGAGGTATCAAATAATATACACATGGAAAATACTGAAAGGCCAGGTCCCAAATCTACACGGTAAAATAACATACTGGAGTGAATGATGTAGAAGGAAATTCATAATAGAACCAGTGGGGAGCAGAGATGCCATAGGCACAATCAGAGAACACTGGATAAACATGAGAGGTCCACAGTTGTTCAACATCCTCCCAGCGAGCATGAGGAATATTGCCAGAACAAACGTGGACGTCTTGAAGAGAAAACTGGATAATTTTCTTCAAGAAGTGCTGGACCAACTGGGCTGTGGTGAATGTGGGCCTATGGACTGCTCCAAGCAACAACCTGTTGGGCCAAGCTCTCTCAAGTCAAGCCTGGCCCTGGGCCGGGCTTGGGGAGTAGAACTCCCAGAACCCCATCTAGGTACACATCCAGGTACAGGTACAACCAGCGAGGAGTAGAGGTGCCATAGGTACAATCAGAGAGTACTGTCTCAACATAAGAGATCCATGGACTTTCAACACTCCTAGCATGCATTAGAAATATTGTTGAAACAAAGGTGACTTCTTCAAGAAGCAATTAAATAAGTTTCTGCAAGAAATCTAGGACCAACTGGGATGTGGTGGATATGTGGGCCTATGGGCTGCTCCAACAAAGTCTGTTGGACCAAGGTATCACAAGTTAAGCCTGGCTCCAAGCTGGGCTAGTGGAGTATAAGAACTCCTTAAGCCCTCTCCAGGTTTGATCCAGGTATACACCTTCACATGGCTGAGGAAACTAGAATAAAACTATCTATCCGAGCCAATCTTAGCACAGTTGGCAGGGTATCCTTCCCCCCTCCCACTGATTTGACCAGAATCCTTAGTCATATCATAACATGAAATGCTGCCACACTTTCCCTCATTCCTAATTGGGTGAGTGTGTCATAGGATAATGCCAAAGGAACTTGTTGACAAATACTATAAATTAACAAAGAAAAATATAAATAAATGGAAATAAATGCATAAAGAATCCCATCACTTTTCTAATACAGGTTGACCAAAGTTATGCCTGTGAGGTTCTAGGAAACCAGGTAGCAGATACAGTAGAATCTCCATGTGACTCAGGAAAGTCAAAATAAGCACAGAAGGCCAAGAAGCTCCATAAAAAATTGCAGCGAATTATGTAATTTAAATATTTTGTTGGATCATATAACCATATTACCATATAAATTTTTAATCTTTGGAAGAAATGGATGGTTAAAAAATGTACTTTAGGCATATATTAAAGTAAAATTAAATTGATATCGAGTACCTGTTTTGCCAGTCCTAATGTCTTTGTTTATGACACAATGGTGTATAATTTAGTAGGGGTCTCTGATAATAATTTAAAACCCTGCAGACTAAACATTACAGTACTTCAGTATTGCTTTCATTATAGTTTATGACAACTAGGAAAGTGCTTAAGAGAGCACAAAGTTCAACCTTGGCATCTGATGCCATACTTGTCATGTCCAGCTCTTGAACTTGTCATATTTGAACTTGAGCTCTTGTAATGGTAAAGGACTCCTCTTCAATTCAGCTGCCTTCCTTATGCCATTAGATCAATCCATTGATTTGAGATTTTCCTCATCCATGTTTTCTTCTCCACCTACCTATACTGTAGTGGTTGTTTACCTTCCCTTCCTCCTGTCTTCCTTCCCTTTTCTGACCTGCCTTCTTTAATTTTCACTCGTCAACTTCTATACAGTATTTGATTAAACATGTACAGTATTGCCAATCAATACGGACAAACTGAATACAAGGTATACTTGGGTAATGTTTTACCACTGGAGTATTATGAACCCAGGTCTTGGTTGATTGTTATGGTTTATATGCTTAGCGATGATAGTAGTACGTGTGATATTGTGAAATATTATGGAATTTTCTATTAATGTGTGCCTTCTTTTTTTTTCTTTCCCTTTTTGTTCGTGCTTTGCATTTGGCTAATATTGACCATCATCTGTTGATACTAACACTGCTCTGTATATCATGCTTGATGTATCTTTGATTGGCTTGTGACAACAATCCTCACCACTACCTCTAATGCTAACTGATTGTGTCTATGTATATCTCTCTTTTGCTCCATTTCTGTTTCTTCTGCCTGAATGTTGTGCATTATTTTTACTTTTATATCTTACTACCACTATGTTGCTTTCACGTTTCTTCTACACTCTTCCATAATGTATGATGATTTATCTTGTACTGTAAATGCTTTTACACTCTTGCAACAAAATTTTTAACTTGCTACAAAAATTGAACAATTCCTGTCTTGGCACTTCCATTCAAAACTACATGCTAACCCTTGAATACTACTACCTTAATCCTATCCTGTATCCTTGACATGCCTTCACCATGGCTTCTACCCATGCCTCCATTAACCCAGCCTGCCGTGCGCTAGGTACCGGGAAAGTTACAGCCGAGAGGTTGGCTCGCCATCTCTCTCATCTGGTCGGGACGGATCAGGTCGGGTGTCGGTGCTGGAACCAAGCCAGGGCCAGTTGCAAGACCTGTCATATGAGACATTGGCCAGAAACTTGGATGCCAACCTCGCTGAAATTGACATGGATGACTTCCACAGTGAAGACATCCACAACATCCTCACACTGCCAACCATGTGTGGGGAGTTCCAGGTTAGTGAACATTTTCAGATTATTGTTTGTTACTGTATTTCTAGATTAAGGTTAGTGCCGCATCACTGTACAGTACAAACATTTTTGTTTGATGTATTTAACTTTTAAAATACTATATTGATTAACATGCAAGTATATATACAACTTTTTTCTATAAAGATTAAATGAAAATTCTAGGTTATTCATGTGGTGCTGCTCTATTGAAGAAGTTAAAAGTTGCATGCTTTTTCCAGAGTGCTGAAGATGGAGAGATGTTTGCCAGTGTTTCTGGTTCCATGATGAATAAGTATGAGCTTGACTCTTCTGTCAGCCCACGTTCTTCTTCTCATTGTGGTCACGAAGGGGATGAGGAGGAGGATGAGGAGGAGGAAGAGGATGAAGATGATGAGGTTGATGAGGATGGCAGAAGGGAAGAGGAGGGAGAAATAGAGGAGGAGGAATACAGTGGTGTAAGTGGGGAGTTGTCATTGTACCAGTCTGGGCCACTGTTCTCTCCATTGAAAGAGCCTCCGCCCCTGGCCAACACCACATTCAGTGTCGACTCTCTTGACTGCGACTCTCTTCACGATGATCTTATTCTCACCTGCCAAGCCAACAAGGATAACTACACTATTGCCTTTGAGGGATCCTTTATTCAGTACTCTGAAGACTCTGATTATCATGAAGCAGGTCAGTGTAGTTGGGCCTGGAGGACACATGTCCAATACCAGTACTGTATGCTTAAATTCCATATAATGGTTAATCTGTTATATGCTCTTATTTTTATTTTTCCTACAGTGTACTACATGTGGAATTGGTATATATTTTGTTTTACAAGTTCATACATTAGATAATTTAGTGAGGGCAGTTGAACCTGATTTAATGTAAATTATTCTATTTGATCCATTTTATTCGGCTAAACATTTTTTTATCATAATAGGTTCAGTACAGTAAAATTTAATTCTTGACATTATATAATACTGTATTTCAGAATCTCCTAACTAATTGTCAAAACTTAAAAAAAAAAAAAAAAAATTGACTGCATAGTATTTACTAAGAATGTTGAGGATTGACTGGGCGCCAATACTTGACCACCATTAGCTCCCTGCTCGCCCAATTGTAATTGGGGTACCTGGTTGTTAATGAATTGTTGGGTCATGTTTCAGGGAAAACTAAAAGGGTAAGGCTTCCATGAGTTATAGGAAGGGAAACTTCTCAGGTTGCCAACATGAGTCGCAAGTAGTCTGCTCCTGTGTCCACCTGGGGGGTGGGGGGGGGGGGGAGGTGCTATACCAAGTGCGACTTTGGTGGTTATTTCACTGGTAATTGAGTTCTGATATTATTTTGCTTTTATGTTGTTCTTGAACATAATTTTATTTTGTTTTTGTTATTTTAGTATTTTAAATATATTTTTGAAACCTGTTCACCCTTTTCAGGCTGAATTTGTCAAATTACCATAATTAAATTAATATACCAGTACACTGTACTACAATTACTAAAATTTAAACATTTTAGAATGTCAAAATTTGCAAGAATTATTAGTGAAATAATGGTGATAATGAAATTCATTTAAATTTGTATTACATCTTTTGGCTATTGCAAAAACACTGGCAACTTTCTGGTATGCTGTCATAAAGATTTTCAGCCTATCTTTTTAAAATAAAAGTATACAGTATATAGTAGCTATTTGGTCGAAAGTATCAATACTTAGTGATGGTGTTGTAACTACTACAGTAAATCAATGTTATTGGTAAATGTTCATTATCTCAGCACATAACATATGCGCATTTAATATGCAACAGTCTCTCTCTGAGGCCACCATATAGGCAGGGAACACACAAAATAGGGCTACTGTAAGTTAAACACACACATACTAACACTCGGTCTTTGATACTCACTCGCTCACTTTCACTCGCTCGCTCACTCGCTCACTCACTCACTCACTCACTCACTCACTCACTCACTCACTCACTCACTCACTCACTCACTCACTCACTCACTCACTCACTCACTCACTCTCACAAACTTACTCACTCTCTCTCACTCTCTCACTGTCACTCACTCTCACTCTCTCACTGTCACTCGCTCTCATCCTGTAACTACACTTACATAAGTGTAGTTACAGGACGAGAGCAACACTCATGGTGTCCTGTCTTCCCAGCACTGTCATATAACATTTTGAAACGACTGCCAGTTTTGGCCTCCTACTTTCTCACTTGTTCAAACCATCTGCCATGATTTTTTGTCCCATGTACTGGTAGTTCTTATCCTTACTTACATAGATTATGCATGGAACACATTCACATGTAAAAACTGGGATCCTATTGCTCCTTTTTTCATGGTTAGATGCATAAATAGATATATTGTGTGTGTTATTTGGCTATACAGTATAATACATCAATCAGTAAAAAAAATGTTGTGTTAAAAATCCAATTTTCTTGCCAGTTGAAATAAGTCTAAGAGCAAGAAGACTAATTTACTATGTACTTTATGTTTATCCTTTATTGCCACATTTAAACACTGCTGTTAATAAATTTTGTCTCATCATGGATTCTAATGCATATGACTTCAACAGATGGCTGAAGTATGTTATGTATACTGTATAGTATTTGAGGTATTAAGATTTGAATGTTATTTTAGGTGAAAGTGAATCAAGCGGGAGCAACCATTGGTCAACAGAGAGGCTGGAGGGTCGGTGTTCTGCACCCTCCATGACACATTCAGACCAGCCCTACACCACCTGGTCTCGGGTCAGCCGTCGATCATCTCGCACACCAGAGGTGCCTTCCAAGGCCAATAGTGCCCAGCAACATTCAGGACAAATAGAAGGGGCAAAGGCATCTGAGCCAGTGCAACCAAGCAACAAGAGCAACAGTATGCCTAATTTGATGCGTCGGTCACTGATGCGGCGGTCATTAGAAGCCTCCGGTGGATGTGTGAAGGTGTTTGATCTTCAAAACAGCATGCGATCCAGCCAAAGCAGTAGAACAATAGCAAATGAGACTAATAACTTTTCATTGGTAAAATTGTTTATGCGGCAAAAGAGTTTAAGTAAAGAGGCAGTTAGTTTGTCATCCAGTATCTCGCAAGAAGGAGCTTGCTGTTCTAGCTCTGACAACCAATCTAATGTTCATGATTCTTCTGACTGGCCAATGAATAGCCAGTCTGAGAATGACATGGATGGAAGTGCTTCACCTGTTCCACCTCCTGCACTTATGAGGCAAAATGGAGTAATTTACCATGAGCGTGGCTTTCGCCGAAGAACTTGTTCATTAGGCACACCCGAAATAACTCCAAGGACCAATAATGCAACTATGCATCAAGATTTCACCTCTCCCGACACTACCACTACTGAAACCACTACCACAACTGCCAACACTCAACAGGATGGCCTTCTCAACAATAACAATAATATTATTACTGCTCATGCTGTGCTTGATAACAATAGCATTCAACTTTCCAATACTATGGATAATGTAACAAGCTTTGAAGACAGTCTTAAGGAAACAAATCCATGCTCTAAGCCACCAGTTACTAGTCCCATCAGAGAGGAGCCAGAGGGTATGGATATATCTATGGATAGTCGAGGTGAGAGTAAGGTTCTCTTGGACCAGTCTGAAAAAGAGACCAAAATGCATGAAGTTTTGAGGTTAAGAGATAACAAACTCAATATGGAGAAAAATAATATGACTCCAGTTAAAACTACTTCAAAAGATTTGGGCAACAAAAATATGAACAAAAATGCCTTCAATATTTGTATTGATGAACGCAAGAGATCCCAGTCACCAGGGACTCCAAAGAAAGGAAGTAACAGGCGTGAAAGTTCAAATACAACTCGAAGGCGCCAGGACTCTGGTAATTCCTCCAGTGGTTACTTGTCAAATAGAGGTTCTACTGAAAAAATAAGAAGGCCTTCAGACTCTGACCAGACTAATGCACCACAGCAGAAGCCCAGACCAAAACCTCGGGTTCTAAAGCAAATGTCAGACCAGTGCCTTCAGACCTCAAATTTGAAGGTTTCAGCAATGGTTAACACTAGTTTTAATATTGACAAGAAAGAGGTTTATGTTTACTACCCAAACTATGCTTTACCAGATTTGGGCTTTCTGAAAGATAAGAAGTACAACATTGATGCTAGAGTATTTCTTGTGCCACAGCACTATAGCTCTCGACCTGAAGAAATAAGAAAAGCTAAAGAATCTCGAATGAGACGTCCCTTTTCGTGTGGCGATATGGAAAAATTGCGGAAACATGGATTTGGTCATATTCGTGATTGGGATTCTCTAAACTTTTTATTGCCAAAAGAACTGAAAGAAATGCTTCTTGATGAAACGGATTGCATGGAAACAACAAAGCCTTCATTTTGTCAGTCACCAAAGCCTTCTCGTCGCCCTGTCAGTTGCGATTACACCCAACAAAAGTGTTCTCATGAACTCAAAGGTTCTGCAAGTGCAAGTAGCTTAAACTCAACACAACCCTCCTCAGGCTTCCGAGGCTCTTCAACAATGCTCAATGACTCGGAAGGAGAGAATGGAGGGCTCCTAGATCAGAGGTATGTTTACAAGTATGATACAGTTAGCACCGACTCAGACGGACTTGAAAAGCCACCACCATTGCCAAAAAGATCCATATCTCTTCCTGTTGAAGAAAGACATGGCCCTGATGATCCAGAGACACCTCCACCTCGACCACCATTGCCTCGTGGAATTCTTAGGAAGTCCACATCCTTAAAAGATGAACTTTCAAAAGCAACAAATAGTCATAACAAAAGATTTAGTGCTATTGATGCTGGAAGAGGTAATATGAGAGAAGACCTATTGAAGAGGCGTTCCTTACAAGAACCCATGGAGCACATGGCTCAGCGGGTAGTTAGAGAAACCATTCCAGAGGTAATACAAACTTGTCCACAACAAGAACCGGAGAAAGATGCTACCATAATTAATCCACCATCCCCAATGGGCTGCAGCTGTGTAAATCAGTGTACTGGTTTCTGTGGCAAAGGACTTCAAAAGAAAAATTTACTGCGAGTCAGTGAACTACCAGATATCTCCAGTCATGAGGATTTAACAGAAGATGATTTGCTTCGAATTCGATCTCAAGTTAGCAACCTCCTTGTTAATAGACACATAGGTCCTCTTCTAACAGATGGTAGCAATACCTGTGACCTATGTCCAAAGAAAAGTGTGAGCTTTGCAGAAAAAATATGCGTCCATTTACGTAACACTCCTGATCGCCTTGCAACTCCTCCCAATTCTCCAGATGCATCACTCCTGAAGAAGGTGAGATACTTGTTTCAATTATTATATAAGTGTCGTCCTTTTAGGTCTAGTACATTTAAATTAATTATTCTGAGGATCTGTTTACATTCTTTTAATAACTACAGAAGCTAAGCTAGACATCCAGGTAAGCTGTTACAGTAGCTGTGTTGAACATTGTCCGAAGGGTATTATCACTGAAACGGATCTCTGTAAATTGTTAATTGTTAATCAGTTTGTAGGTAGTTTTCCAGGGAAAATTAATTGGGCAAGACTTAATGCCTTAAAATTGCAGTTGATCCAGCCATTTATCAGCTGCTTTGCACAATTTTCTATATCTCTACCTCTCTTACTTTCTCTCTTACTCTTTCTCTTTCGTTATTAAGTTCCACAGGTTCCTTTTTAATCGGGTGAGTAACACATGGGTAGTTAAATGCTCTGTAATCCACAACAAATCTGAATATACAGATATATACACGCTTCATTGACTATTAGTAATATGCTTTGTATGCATACCAATCAGGGCCAAAACCCAGATGCCTCTACTGGAACTACTGGTGGAGAAGCCATAACAGAAGACGAGCCCAGACCTCTGCTTTATGATGCCCACGACAAGAAAACACTTGTACTTTCTGTTCGGGCTGCTGTGGAAAAGCTAGTCACTCACTTCAACTCTGCTACTTCTCAACAGGAAAAAGTGCGATTAGGTAAGTTCAGACATTTAAAGCCTTCAGTTAATGCATTGCTAGACCAAATGCCCTTTAGTAACTAAATTTTATATAAAATAGCAGTGGCTTGTAATTACATAAATGAAAACATTGAAATCTTGCTTATGGTACAAAATGTGAAGTTCTATTATGATTTTGAAAGAGTATTGTATATGGCAGCATGATGGATGTGTTTCTGTTGAGGTTTTCCAACATAAACTGTAGTGTGACAGAAGGCATCACAGTTAAATGATTTGAAGTGAGTGAATCAGAAATAAATTACTATAGGCACAGAATGATATTATTTAAACTGAAAGAAAATTTGTCACAAATTGTAATCGATTATGTTTATTCTTTGGAAAAGAATTACTGTTTTGAATTTGCCATAAACATCAATGAGAGAATTACAAACCACATCATCAAATTTGCAGATGATACAAAGATTTATGGTAAAGTGGGAAATGATAATGATATTGAAGCCTTACAAAGAGATCTACATGAACTCCACTAATGGTCAGAAGACTGGCAAATGCTTTTTGATATTGACAAATGCAAGACCATGTATGTGGGGCACAACAACCCATGCCACAACTACCATTACATTACAGCAAATTGATGAAGAAAAGGACCTTGGAGTCAAAATCCACCATTCATTAAAAGTTGCACAACAGGTGGGGTGCAACAGTTAGAAAAGCTGACCAAACACTTGGGATAAGCAAGCGTACTTTTGACTATAAGGTAAAAAAGGTAATGGTTCAACTATATACATCCCATGGACCATACACATGGTCTGCCTTAGGTGAGAGAGGGGAAGGGCCACGCTATCCGAGCTCTGCGGAAAACAATATACTGGTATGTCTAGGGATATTTCAGAACTAAACAGTCAGATATCTTATAAAGTGTGTCTCAACATATTAAAAAATATATCATAGTGATTGCCATCCGACCTTTTGTGTTCAAGAAAAAAAAAGAGAAATTCAAGTGTAGTCGACGCCTGCCCTCCTTCCCTCGTGGTGGTGCCAGCAGTCCTTAAGGCAATTGTTGCCAAGTTGCCAAAAAAAAAATCACATCTCTCGCTATTGAAACATAAAGAAATCATTGCCCATAGTGCTAAGCTCTATGTAAAACCTGTGTCAGTTATAAAAAATTAAGATAACATACTTTAATATCAAGTGAACAAATTATACACAAAATAAGTCTGTCGTGTGTGTGTAAACAAGGGCCATTTGGAGGTAGACTCACCCCGAGTACCCATTGTGCTTACTAGTATTATGCTTCCAAGTAGTGTAATGTACCCAGGTTACTAGTGCCCAGACACAGAAACTAGATGCCTCCACTGTAAGATAACTAGTGGTAAAATGCAAGTAATGTATTCTAACAAGTGAACAAAACAAATCAAAAGTGTGCCACGTGGTAGCAACACTGCCCGTTCATACAGCCTCCTCCCAGCTGGTCCCAAACTGGTAAATACCCATGGTCAATACCCACCAGTCCCCACCCCACCTTATCAGCAGCACCATCACTGAACAAAAGTACTCAACAAAAATGTCTTTGGATAAAAAGTGCATAGAATGCAACATGAAGGTAGATTACCAACAGAGCTTTCAATGCCAACTCTGTTCAGCAGCCATACACAAAAAATATGCCAACATGACTTATAATCCAAGAAGAAATGGTCTCAGAGACCACTCTGTGTACTGGCTCTGCAAAAAGGATGATGTAACCTTGATCGGGGGTCAAGAAGGCGCGGGGTCGGGGAAGCCGGAGCAGAGCGCGGGGTCGGGGAAGCCGGAGCAGAGTGCGGGGTCGGGGAAGCCGGAGCAGAGCGCGGGGTCGGGGGACGCGGAGCAGAGCGCGGGGTCGGGGACACCGGAGCAGAGAGCGGGGTCGTGGGCACCAGAGCAGAGCACAGTGTCGGGGGCGCCGCAGCAGAGCGTGGTCCCTGGCAAAGGGAAACAAACAAACAAAACATGAACCCAACATCTGTTAGTATTACAAATGGGGTATCTGTAAGCATGGGATATCGGGAAGAACAAATGGAACATGTAAGTACAATCACCCTAGAAAGTGAAGAAACCTCCTCAGTATGTACAAATGTACGAAAAGCTGTGAATTCTTTCACCCAGAAATTTGCAAGAACTCTTTAGACAGGAAAGAATGCTTCAATACAGAATGTCCAGCTTTTCATATTAGAGGTACCAGGCGAATAAAACCGACAGACCGCCAGTATGAAAACATTCACAACTCCATCGACCAGGATGATTTTTTAGCAAGAGAAAGAGGAGAAGAATGGCTAAAAATGTCCAGACTCTACCACCATCTCGGTCAAATGGTAGAGAGGACGCAAACACAGTGGCCTCCCTACCAGATCCTCAGATATTAACACCAAGTAAAGCATCCAGCACTTCCACAAACACGATAATATCATTTATATTTGCCAACATCCAGGGTATAAAAACACGCAAATCCAACAAAGTTAATTTTATAGATAGTCTACTTCATGAGGCAAATGCAGTGTTTGCAGCCCTAATGGAAACTCACACCAAGGACTACCATGATGGTGAAATATGGATCTTGGAGCACAATCTTTTCAGATGTGACAGGAAACACTGGCTACAGGGTGGGGGTCAGCCTCTACATCAAAGACACACTCATCTGTACTGAGCTGCTAAACACCACAAACGATATGATGGAAATGCTGATAATTAAAATAGCAATCCTAAATGTAGTTATTGTCCTTGTATATAAGTCACCGGAGGCAAACCCTCAGCACTTTAAAGACTAACTAATGTAAATAGAACACTGCTTGGAAACCTCACAAATCCAGCCCTGAACATCATCCTGCTTGGGGACTTCAACCTACAGCACCTGAAATGGAAGCACCTGGCTAATACAGTAATATCAGAAAGGATACCTGGAAGTAGCCTAAATGAACAGGCACATGCAAATGACCTGCTACGGATGTGCGACAGGTTTGCCTTAAACCAGCAAATAGTAGAACCAACTAGGAAGGAGAACACACTGGACCTCATTTTCACCAATAATGATGAATTGATCAGGAACATAATGATTACAAATACCTGTTACTCAGATCACAACTTAATTGATGTTCTGACAAGCATGGGGAATAGACCTTCAAAACCAGTCCCGATTCCTGGTGGAGGAGATTTCAGCAAATTCAACTTCAATAATAAACAGATAAACTGGGAGCAAATAAACCAGGACTTCACAGAAATAAACTGGGAAGAACAGCTAGAAAATGCAAACCTGAACCAGTGCCTTAAAAAAATAAGCTCAGTAGCACTAGAAATATGTTCAAACCGCATACCCCTAAGAAAAAAGAGGAAGAGATGCAGATTGGAACGGGAACGTCGTTCCCTCTATAGGCGAAGAAAACGAATAGCGGAACAACTTGAGAGTCGCACCCTATCTCAAGAACGGCGAAGGTGGTTAGGTAGAGAAGTAGAAACAATTGAACTCAAGCTACAAGAATCATACAAAACCCAGGAGAGGCAAAGAGAGCAAAAGGCCATCAGTGAAATAGAGAGAAATCTGAAATATTTTTTCTCCTATGCAAAATGAAGATAAAATACCACATATAGTATCGGGCCCCTGCGAAAGGGAGATGGAACTTTCACCGATGACAACAAAAAAATGAGCGAGTTACTGAATAAGCAGTATGACTCTGTTTTCAGCGAGCCACTAAACACACTAAAGATTGATAACCCAAATGAATTTTTTATGGATATGATACCAACATCAAATCGTATATTAGACGTCATCCTATCCCCACTGGATTTTGAAGAAGCCATAAATAGTATACCTATGCACCAGGCCCTGATTCTTGGAACTCTATATTCATCAAGAACTGTAAAAACCACTATCACAGGCCCTTCACATTCTTTGGAGACAAAGCCTAGATACTGGCGTTATTCCTGTCATACTAAAAACAGCAGAGATAGCACCACTCCATAAAGGAGGAAATAAGGCAGAGACAAAAAAATTACAGACCAATAGCACTAACATTGCACATCATAAAATCTTTGAGAGAGTGCTAAGAAGTAAGATCACAAAATACATGGAATCACAGCATCTCCATAACCCCAGACAACATGGTTTCAGAACAGGGTGCTCTTGCCTGTTACAGTTGCTGAACCACTATGACATGGCATTAGATGCCATGGAAGATAAACAAAATGCTGACGCAATTTACACAGATTTCACAAAAGCCTTTGACAAATCTGAACATGGTGTTATTGCACATAAAATGCATTCAAAAGGAATTACCGGAAAAATAGGCAGATGGATCTACAATTTCCTGACTAACAGAACCCAATGTGTAATAGTCAACAAAATAAAATCCAGTCCATCAGCTGTGAAGAGCTCAGTCCCCCAGGGTACTGTGCTTGCTCCAGTACTTTTTCTCATTCTCATATCGGACATAGACAAGGACACAATCTACAGCACTGTATCATCCTTTGCAGATGACACTAGGATTTTCATGAGAGAAGGCAACATAGAGGACACGGCAACCCTCCAGTCAGATGTAGATCAGCATGTCCTGATGGCACCAATTGCTTTCTATGGGCTACAGAAAATAATATGCTGTTTAACGAAGATAAGTTCCAGCTCATGCGCTATGTAAAGAAATTAAAATATAAAAACGGAAACCATGTACAAAACTCGGGCAAATCATAACATAGAACTAAAAGGTAATGTAAAGGATCTGGGTGTATTCGTGTCGGAAGACCTTACCTTTAAAGAACACAATAAAGTAGCCTTCACAACTACAAGAAAAATGACAGGTTGGATAACAAGAACTTTTCACACTAGAGATACTATACCAATGATAATTTTCAAGACGCTAGTGCTCTCTAGAGTGGAGTACTACTGCACAATGACAGCCCCTTTCAAAGCTGGAGAAATTGCTGACCTGGAGAGCGTGCAGAGATCCTTTACTGCTAGAATCCACTCGGTAAAACATCTAAACTACTGGGACCGACTAAAGAGCCTAAATCTGTATTCCCTTGAGTGCAGGCAGGAGAGATACATAATAATTTACACATGGAAAATAGTAGAGGGGTTGGTCCCAAACCTGCACACAGAAATAACATCACATGAGACCAGAAGGCATGGAAGGATGTGCAGAATACCCCCGTTGAAGAGCAGAGGTGCAACAGGTACTCTTCAGAGAGAACTCTATCAACATCAGGGGTTCGAGACTGTTCAACACGCTTCCGCTACACATAAGTGGCATAACTGGCTCACCCCTCACAGTGTTCAAGAGGGAACTGGATAAGCACCTCCAAAGGGTACCTGATCAACCAGGCTGTGAGCAGCTGCGTCCAACAGCCTGGTTGACCAGTCCAGCAACCAGGAGGCCTGGTCGATGACCGGGCCGCAAAGCCCCGGAAGCACCTCGGGGTAACTTCAAGATATCCCTGGTGTGCCTCCGTTTGGATTACTGTATCCAAGCATGGAGACCCCATTTTCAGAAGGATGTAGATGTTCTGGAGAAAGTGCAACACCGGGCAACAAAAGTCATTCCAGAGCCAAGTCATCTCTCGTGCCAGGAATGCTTGAAGGCCACAGGGCTAACAACACTTCTAATCAGGCATGACAGGGCAGATCTCATTGAAACTTTAAAAATATTGAACAAGTTAGACGTTGTTGATCTGTATATATTTTTAGACGGTCAGATGCAGTCTCCATGGTGCAGTGATAAAACACTCGCATGTTTTACCACTGCACCTGTTTACCACAGGAAGCAGTGGTACCACAAGAAGCCGACAAGTCGCCAGCTTCCTGTCCTCATCGAGGCCACTAGTGTTAGTGGCCTTCAGGTAAATCAGGAATTATTAGGAAATTTGTTTAATATTGGATTTCTGTATGGGAATACAGTATATTGGAGTGGTGATTACTAATTTATGAAAAAACTTTCAATGGACCTAAAGGTCCTCATTAACACTTTGTGGGGCCCAGCGTACGCGCCCCAGCCCACCCCAAGGTGGGTCTGGCGTTTCCCGGGAGCGTGCACCAACACTAAAATGTTTATATTCTATCCAGTGTTCTGACCTCAATTTCCGTGCTACGTCATTCATTTTGGTATCAAATTGTTCACAATCTAAAGGCGCGCATTTTAAAACTATTCCCATAATGAGCAATAAGTGGAATTTTTAAAAATACTTTAATTTGAGATTGCCAAATATGTCTCCGCTGGACATCCGTAGAATTAATTATGGTCGCAATATCGCAAGAAGAACCATATCTCCACAAGCTGAAAGTGTTAAGTGAGAAGACGCTGCAAGTAAAATGTGCAAAAGTCTACATAATTGAAAGCTAATCCTGTTATATATATTATACCTGTGAGAGCATAGTTTTCCCTGGGTATAATTGACAGTAATTGAATAATTGCATGTAGAATATGCAGGGCAAGATATAAATCAATGCAAATTGGCAAGGTGCTGCCATATATCAGAGGAGAGAGAGTGATAAATATAAATTGCTTGTTTGATAATGTGATAAGAGATGACGTGTAATTGACGGGTAGACCACAGAAAGGGCAACACATTACTCTTTATCGGGCTGGTATGACTGAATATGTTTTAAGATTGCTTGTAATTAATATATAGTGGGGGATTTGTTGATATAATATGACATGGATGCAGGTGGTGGGCTGCATGGATGCAGCCACCTTGTCTGTCAGTCGGTATCCTCTTCATTTTCTAGCATGTTGATGTTTTCAGTGAAATTATTTATATGTAAAGTATATGCCTGTCCTGGTATGTGTACACACACACACACTTTTGCTGAAGGATGTACACTTCCCAGTTTGTAATTTTTGGGGTTCTCCTTATATGGAACTATTCTGCACTGCTAATTTCAGGTTCTGGTCTTTGGTGCATTCACATACACTTCATGTATTTTTAATATGTTAAAAAGCTATTGAGGGAGAGAGAGAGAGAGAGAGAGGTTATTTTCCAGGATCAAGTGGATTTCTTACCAACAAGACTGAAATGCAATTATGTATACAAGGTTAATTTTTGAATTTTATTGGCACAGTACTCTGCAAATAGCAATTAAATTAATGAACAGAAATGGTTTTTTGTATATAGAAATGTTATAGTTTATTTAATACTGTATGTAAAGCACAATTTGTTCAGGTGTCAGATTTTTATTGGGCATGTATGGCACAGTTGAATGTATTTTGTGTTTTGACTTACAAAGTTATATTTATGCATTTAAAGGAATTTTAAATGGAAAAAACAGCTTGGAAAACTGAAACATTACTTCCTTGGTACTGATAAAAAGTTCTTGTAAAAAACTAATTGTTTAGCATGTTAAACTAATTGGTCTCGATTCATGCTTTCCTTAAAAGTTGTCTGTAAAATCTCTCTTGCATAGAATTTAGAGCAGACTGTAACGTATAAGCTGTATTGTATTCATACGCATCATGAGATGAATACACACACATGCACTCTGTTTTATTCATTATTTAGGAATGATAAATTGTGATATACACTTGCTTGAACAAGTACAGAAAATTTAATAGAGAGTATGGTGTACAGGTACCAGTGGTCTGACCCCTGCTGTGGCACAGTTGGCTCTTGACAAGTTGTGTCCTGCAGTGTATGCTCTTCTTAGTGACGGCCTACACCCATCCCTACAGTCCCTCTTCGGCAAGATCAATAACTCGGTGTGGCGGGTCATTGAAGTCACCAGTCAAATAAGTAAGCTTATCTTTTTTTGTAATGTTCTTCGAGGATAATTCAGTTAGCACAAGCAGACGAAGATTCACAATTACATGTCTAAAGACAAGATGACCAAACTGTGCAAACTGTGCGTCAGAAAATGAAGACACGATGATGTTTTGGTCTGTCCTGGACGATTGTAAGGTCGTGTAATTATAAAGACATTGCACGATTTGATAATGGTCTAGGACAGACCAAAATGTCGTCTTCGGTAAGCACAATATACACATGTATATATAATTTGTGACAATTTAGACTGCTTAATTATCCCCTCAGGATGGGTAGGAAGGGTGCATAATAAATGAATTAGACTAAATTTCAAGTAAATAAATTGTCGCTAATATTAAACATGTTTGCACAGGTCCCTCCACAAAGGCGCTAAATGACTTGGTGCTGACACTGAACAGTGAAGAGTGTTTATCAGAAGGACCCATCAAATTCAATGCATTCATATTTGGGCTTCTTAAGTAAGTTACACGAGTCATGTTCTGTTGTGGATTAATATTTTTACCTTTGAAAGCTAAATAACACAAACTAAATGATAATGATATTTTAAAGGATTGGTTAAAAGTTAAATTTACTCAATTTTTTTTCATTACAAAGGATTTGTCCTTTTAAACAAGAAACCAATGCTGAAACGACCTATTTTATTTTTAACAAACATTATAATGGAAGTCGGTATATTATTTACCTGGTTTACCTAAGAGCCACTAATCCTAGTGGCCTTGACAAAGACAGGAAGCCGGCAGTTTGTCAAAGGTGCTTCATTTGCCTTGATTATGATCATTAAGCAAAACTTTCTCTAATATGTAAAGCTTCTTTTTATTAAAAATGACAGGTTAACACTTTCGCGCTCTCGGCGCTCAAAAAAAAACAATACCCCAGATGCTTTCGGCACTTCGCGCGCCTACGCGGTAAGCCTGAAAAGTGTACACTCTTTTGACTGTCCTGACAATAATTGAAGGCGCACGTATTTAAATTTGGTATCACTGTGTTCGCAATGAAATTGTCTATAAGAGCATACCTATAAAATGCCGCCCAAGCATAAGGAGTATCAACACCAAATAAAAAACTATGCAGATCACTCGCCGAGAGCGCCAAACAGCAACAAAATGTTTCCACTCTCTTAATGGTTGCGAAGCCTACAGTTGTCCTACATCGCTAATTTTGGTATCATTGGAATCGCAATAAAATTCTCTACACGGACATATGCATATGAATGTTTAATATAGGTAATTGCCCACCCGCAAGAGTGTGTGAAGTGGAGAGTAGTTAGCCGCGAGCGCACTGGCGAAAACACAGTTTTCAACGGTTGCAACACAGCAACACAGTAAATATCAACGAAAGGTTGATATTTACCAGGAAGGAGGAAGAGATATTTGACATTCAGTACCTTCCTCCCTTGGGTAAAAGTGACCATGTCTTTTTGGGAATAAAGTATGCAATGCGTTATAAGCTGGAAGAAAATAAGGAGGTTGAAGCAGTTGAAAAACCAGACTTCAGGAGAGGACATTATGGTGACCTTAGAAATTTTTTTAGTGAGTATAATTGGACAGACTTGATGCTAGGCAAGGAAGTGAATGAGTTGTATGGCAAGTTTTGTGAAATATATGATAAAGGCACAAAAAAATTTATACCAAAACAGAGATGCAGAACTAGGAAACAGGATTGGTTCAATAGAAATTGCGAGAGGGCTAGAGACCGAAAGACACAAAAATGGAATCAATACAGGAAGAGGCCGAACCCCCAAACATACCAGCGATACAAAGATGCGAGAAACAACTACACGGCAGTGAGGAGAGAGGCAGAAAGAAATTTTGAAAAAGGGATTGCGGACAAATGTAAAACAGAACCAGGTCTATTCTATAAATTCATAAACAACAAATTTCAGGTAAAGGATAATATTCAGAGGTTGAAAATGGGAAATAGATTCACGGAAGATGAAAAGGAAATGTGTGAAACACTAAACGAAAAGTTCCAAAGTGTGTTTGTACAAAATGAAATCTTTAGGGAACCAGATACAATAAGAATTCCAGAGAACAACATAGAACACATAGAGGTGTCTAGAGACGAAGTGGAAAAAATGCTCAAGGAGCTCGGTAAGAACAAAGCAGCTGGCCCAGATGGCGTTTCACCATGGGTTCTGAGAGAATGTGCATCTGAGCTCAGCATTCCACTTCACCTGATCTTTCAGGCATCCCTGTGTACAGGAATCGTAGCAGACGGGTGGAAACAGGCTAACATAGTTCCAATCTACAAAAGTGGCAGCAGGGAAGACCCCCTCAATTATAAACCTGTATCATTGACAAGTGTAATAGTGAAAGTATTGGAAAAACTAATCAAAACTAAATGGGTAGAACACCTAGAGAGAAATGATATAATATCAGACAGACAGTATGGTTTTCGATCTGGAAGATCCTGTGTATCGAATTTACTCAGTTTCTATGATCGAGCCACAGAGATATTACAGGAAAGAGATGGTTGGGTTGACTGCATCTATCTGGACCTAAAAAAGGCTTTCGACAGAGTTCCACATAAGAGGTTGTTCTGGAAACTGGAAAATATTGGAGGGGTGACAGGTAAGCTTCTATCATGGATGAAAAATTTTCTGACTGATAGAAAAATGAGGGCAGTAATCAGAGGCAATGTATCAGAATGGAGAAATGTCACAAGTGGAGTACCACAGGGTTCAGTTCTTGCACCAGTGATGTTTATTGTGTACATAAATGATCTACCAGTTGGTATACAGAATTATATGAACATGTTTGCTGATGATGCTAAGATAATAGGAAGGATAAGAAATTTAGATGACTGTCATGCCCTTCAAGAAGACCTGGACAAAATAAGTATATGGAGCACCACTTGGCAAATGGAATTTAATGTTAATAAATGTCATGTTATGGAATGTGGAATAGGAGAACATAGACCCCACACAACCTATATATTATGTGAGAAATCTTTAAAGAATTCTGATAAAGAAAGAGATCTAGGAGTGGTTCTAGATAGAAAACTATCACCTGAGGACCACATAAAGAATATTGTGCAAGGAGCCTATGCTATGCTTTCTAACTTCAGAATTGCATTTAAATACATGGATGGCGATATACTAAAGAAATTGTTCATGACTTTTGTTAGGCCAAAGCTAGAATATGCAGCTGTTGTGTGGTGCCCATATCTTAAGAAGCACATCAACAAACTGGAAAAGGTGCAAAGACATGCTACTAAGTGGCTCCCAGAACTGAAGGGCAAGAGCTACGAGGAGAGGTTAGAAGCATTAAATATGCCAAAACTAGAAGACAGAAGAAAAAGAGGTGATATGATCACTACATACAAAATAGTTACAGGAATTGATAAAATCGACAGGGAAGACTTCCTGAGACCTGGAATTTCAAGAACAAGAGGTCATAGATTTAAACTAGCTAAACACAGATGCCGAAGAAATATAAGAAAATTCACCTTCGCAAATAGAGTGGTAGACGGTTGGAACAAGTTAAGTGAGAAGGTGGTGGAGGCCAAGACCGTCGGTAGTTTCAAAGCGTTATATGACAAAGAGTGCTGGGAAGACGGGACACCACGAGCGTAGCTCTCATCCTGTAACTACACTTAGGTAATTACACTTAGGTAATTACAGGGGGGAAATCATGCTTGGAAAGTTTATATGTTTCCTGACCCTACTTTTCTATGTACGTATTTCGTTTTTATACCAATGTGTTCGCAATAAAATTTTCTATAAGATGAACTGTATAACATTTGTACAAAGCATGTGTAAGAGAAGCGCCAAATATAGAACCACGTCGCTCAGTATGCGTTCGCGGCAGAAACGAACGCATTGTTTTCGTTCGTTTGATGTTTGTCATGTTTATACTTGTTGAAACATTTTATAATTTGTATGACAGTGATCGCAGTAAAATTCCCTACACAGACATATACATAACACATACAAATATTTCCCACGTGTTGGATATATCAACGGCTAAAGGGAACCCACTGCCACACGCTCGCCACACCCCCAAACATACTTTGTGTATTTTTTTTTTACTCATAGAAGTTTATGTAATATAATATTCATTCTGGTACCAAAACATTCGCAAATAAATTCCCTACAAAACAAAAGTATCCCCATCCATTTCGGTTAAAAAATGGAATTTATAGAAATATTTTTTCGATGGACGAGAAAAGTAGGCTGTTATGCGGAATCGTAAGAGAAAACGGCGACGAGTTATCTCTAATCTAAAGCGCGAAAGTGTTAACATACTCATGTCCCATCAACACAGTAGTCAGCCCATTCTCATGTTTTGGTAGTATTGTACTGTACTTTTAGTAATGTAGGACCATAATACATATATCAACGTACAATGCAATTAGAAAGTATAAATCTGTTTGAACTCTAATCTTTTCTGTGGGGAGCCCCTACGGCTCCCTGGAGCTTATCGGGCTAATGTATGTTATGTTAGACCGGGACATTAGCTAAGGAGTTCAGACCTACCAGGGACCAGCGCCTGAACCTGGCCCCTTCAGAGAGGTTTCAGGGAGCAATGGCCCTGGAAAACCCCATATGGTTGGGGGTTTTCCTTATCTGCCATCGACCGGGGTTAGGCACCCAGAAAGGTAGGCGTAACAAAACAAACCCCACATGGTAAGAAACTACAACAAAAACCGAACAGAGAGGTAGAAAACTCCCTACAATCTCAAGGAAACTAGCAAACAAGCAAATATCACACTTTACTGCCGCGCAGCCCTCCCCACCCCGGGAGGGGGAGGGGGGAGCCCCGGACCTACCGCGCCGGCTGCTAAGCTTCAGTTCGTTCGCTAATGTCAACCGGGATTGACGCTTCTCTGGCCTCAGTTTCCTAGGCGGTGTTTGCCTTGTGTGGCGTTCACTGCCGTGTGTTGTGTTGTGCGGTGGCCAGGAGTACTTCATCAGTGCCGGGGCTGCATGTGCTTAGTGGCTGACTTCCCTAAGCGCCCTGTGAATACTGCCCTTGCGTTACAGGGTTATCTTCCCTGGGGCGTTCGGGAACCATTCCCGTAGAGGTTCTTGCTGCTCGGCATTTGCCTCGCCCTTGGGACCAGCTGGGGCTTGGGGCCCTTGTTTGGCCCTGGGAAGGGATTGTGCTGGTTAGGGCGTCAAGGTATTGCGCAGCCTGCCACCTAAGCGGCGGCCGGTTTCTGTTGCCTCTGGAGACGGTGTACTTTTGCGGGGTTTTTCTTTTGATTTTAATTTTTCATGTCTGGTGGGGGTCTGCCTAAGGTGGTTATAGTTCCACTGGTAGTGTTTGGCGGCCCTCTGCTAGGTCCCCGTGATTGTACACGTCTCAGGGGTTTTCAGTGCTATATTCTACTCTCTTGTTTCTGTTTGGGTTTCTTAACCGGTTAGCAACACCTTGCCCGGGCTTCCCGTAGTTGTTACCCTACGGGCCCTGGAAACCCCTGTCTGGGCTCGGGGGACCATTGAATGTGTCTTCCG